TCTTCATTTAATCTCCACAGCAACTCACTGTGGTAGGCACTGTTATCCCCAATTTAGAAATGAGGAAACTAAGGCATTGTACATAGATTTCTAGTAAATAGGTGAGCTGGTCAGAAAGTACGCAGATATAAAAATTTTTTTTTTTTTTTTTTTTTTTTTTTTTGAGACGGAGTCTTGCTCTGTCTCCCAGGCTGGAGTGCAGTGGCATGATCTCAGCTCACTGCAACCTCCTGGGCTCAAGCGATTCTCCTGCCTCAGCCTCCCAAGTAGCTGGGACTACAGGTGTGTGCCATCATGCCTGGCTAATTTTTTTGTATTTTTAGTAGAGACGGGGTTTCACTACGTTGGCCAGACTGATCTCAAACTCCTGACCTCAGGTGATCCACTGGCCTAGGCCTCCCAAAGTGCAGTGACTCCAAATGGAAAGTAATTAGCAATGTTAATGTGGAGAATTTTTAGGAAAACCAATGAATGTTGTTTATATTCGTAAGAGCAACACATGATTTTTTTAAAAAGCCTGTTTAAGGATGAAGAGCTCCTTCAACAATTACAGAATTTCCAAGGGATAAGAAAAAATATTGGAAATCATGCAATGCAGAGTATTCAAAACTGGGAGGAGATGAGATGATCTAGAAAAGGCAGAGTGTGGCCAGGCGTGTTGGCTCACGCCTGTAATCCCAGCACTTTGTGAGGGTGGGGCAGGCGGATCACTTGAGGTCAGGAGGTTGACACCAGCCTGACCAATATGGTGAAACCCCCATCTCTACTAAAAGTACAAAAACTAGCCAGGCTTGGTGGCAGGCACCTGTAATCCCAGCTACTCAGGAGGCCCAGGCAGGAGAATCTCTTGAACCAGGAGGCGGAGGTGTTTGCAGTGAGCCGATATTGCGCCACTGCACTCCAGCCTGGGCAGCAGAGTGAGACTCCATTAAAAAAAAAAAAAAAAGAATAGGCAGAGTGAGAACAGAAGACACAGCCCTATGGAATCAGACATTTAAAGGCTGGAGAGAGAGGAAAACCAGAGGGCTGAGGCATTGCTGAAGGCTTCCAGAGGAAGGCTCAGCAGCAGAGAGGGCATGTGAGACTCGCCAGGATGGCAGAGGTCGCAGCAGTGGACAAGGGTGTCAGCAAGCTCTTAGGGGTTGGGGCATGGGTCCCTTGGAGAATCCTATGAAAGCTGTAAGCCCCTCCCATTAAAAAGTGCACAGTTCCCCTTGCAAGGACTCAAACTCAGACTTCCTCCGATTATTGCTTCTCATCCCACTTGCCCTCATTCCCACCCTCTTGTCCACAGAACCTTTATTCTTTTTTTTTTTTGATATGGGAGGCTTGCGCCGTTGCCCAGGCTGGAGGGCAGTGGCACGGTCTCAGCTCCCTGCAACCTCTGCCTCCTGGGTTCACATGATTCTTCTGCCTCAGCCTCCCTAGTAGCTGAGATTAGGTGCCCACCACCACACCAGGCTAATTTTTGTATTTTTAGTAGAGACAGGGTTTCACCATGTTGGCCAGGCTGGTCTCCAGCTCCTGACTTCAGGCGATCCTCCCATCTCTGCCTCCCAAAGTGCTGGGATTACAGGCATGAGGCACCGTGCCAGGACCTTTTTTAAACTTTTGCTCTTTTGCCCACGCTGGAGTGCAGTGGTGTGATCTCAGCTTATTGCAACCTCTGTCTCCCGGATTCAAGCCACTCTCCTGCTTCAGCCTCCGGAGTAGCTGGGATTACTGGCACCTGCCACCACACCCGGCTAGTTTTTTTATTTTTAGTAGCGACGGGGTTTCACCACTTTGGCTCGGCTGGTCTCAAACTCCTGACCTTGTGATCCGCCTGCCTCAGCCTCCCAGAGTGCTAGGATTACAGGCATGAGCCACATCACCCGACCCTTAAAAAATTTTTTTTAACAAGACAGTGTCTTGCCCTGTCACACAGGCTGGAGAATAGAGTGGTACAGTCTTGGCTCACTGAAGCCTCAATCTCCCAGGTTAAGGGATCTTCCCACCTCCGCCTCCAAAGTAGCTGGGGTCACAGTTGTGTGTCACCACGCCTGGCTAACTTAAATTTTTTTTTTGTAGAGATGGTGTCTCAGAATGTTGCCCTGGCTGGTCTCAAACCCCTGGGCTCACCCAATCCTTCCTTGGCCTCCTGAAGGGCCGGGATTACAGGCATGTGCCACTGCGCCTGGCCAATAAAGTCTTTGAGGATGAAGAATTTCAGCCAGAACCTGAAGGATATATCTGGCTCTATTTAGATTTGAAAGTATATAATGTCTCAAGAAAAACAAAACGCCTCACTGAAGGAAACAAGGTTAGTGTGGTGATTCGTGATTTTATTTTCTTTTTCTCCTAAAGACTTTCATTAATAGGAGTGTCCTTGATTCGTACCCCAATCCATCAGCAAACACTGGTAGGCTCCACCTTCAAGTCTTATCTAGAATCAGACCACCTCACCTCATCTACTGTGGCCTCCTTGGGCCGGGCCTAGCCTCTTTCAGTCTGTTCTCACCACACAGCCACCAGAGGGATCCTTTTATTTTTATTGATTGCTTGATTGATATGGGGTCTCTTGTCAGCAGGCTGGAGTGCAATGGCACGATCTCACCTCACTGCAACCTCTGCCTCCTAAGTAGTGGGGACCACAGGCACAAGCCACCATGCCGTTATTTTTTTTTTGTATTTTTGGTAGAGACGAGGTTTCACCATATTGTCCAGGATGGTCTTGAACTCCTAAACTGAAGCAATCTACCCACCTCAGCCTCCCACAGTGCTGGGATTACAGGTGTGAATCACCACACACAGCGCCTTTTCAAACCGCAGTTGGATCAGCATTTTTCTGCTCATAACAACGGCTTTTGCTTCCCTGCTCACTCAAAATAAATTCCTTCTTCACTGCAGAGCTTCCCCTCCTACCACAGGTTGTTTAGGTCCCAATGGTGGTGATGGTAGGGACCCACAACCACTGTGACAACCAAATATGCCCACGATGCCCAGGGTTTCAGTCCCGGCTCCACCCCTTCCACTGCTGGGTTGGTTTCTTCATCTAAAAAACGGGGATGGGGACAACAAACTTGAAAAACTGTCCTGAGAATGAGGTGTCCAGCATCGGGAGTACTTAACAAAGGGTCCCCAATGATAACCAGCTGAGGCATAAGCAAACTCCATTGCTCCTATTATCTGCATCTGAAGATTTACACCTGTGATGTATGTGGATCCTTTTCCAATTTCTTCTGTAGTAAACATTCTCTCTTGTATCAGAAAGTAAGGTTATGGGTTGGAGCTATAAATAGGCCCTTTGATCCATCCCCCACGTAGAGGGCTTTGCCGGTGGTAAGCATGGACTGCAGACAGCAGCTCCCTCTGAGGCTGCCCCTAGCTCCTTTCTTTCACAGTGGGCTGTGACTCAGGCTCCAACTTCCACTGTGTGGTCCTCGATCAGTGTCTGAATCTCCCAGAGTTTGTCTCCTTCTCTGCAGACAGATATGCTGATAGACCCTGCCACACAGGGCTGAGCTGAAGGGAAAATGAGACAGTGCAAGCAAAGGAGCCTGGTGCCAGGCACGTACCAGGCATTCAGCAGTGGCGAACCATGGTAGCCTGCCCCCAGTCTAACGCCCTGGGCTCCATGCCCCCACCCCCTCAGTTCCTTCCCACTTGACTTCAGGAGCTGGATTCTCTCCTCCTGCCAGAGAAGTCCAGCTCACACTGCCTAAGGCACAAATTCTCACACCAACAACTAGGTCCCTGCCAGGTCCTGGCCAGTCCCAACTCCATGAAGCAGGAGGGCAGGTAAATTTGAGCAGAGACTGTTTCTGTTTGGCATTAGCCTCTGCCAATTGCCCAGGAAAGCTGGAATGCTCTTCAGCAAGCATGACATTTCCTCACATCCTAAACACTTTTTTTTTTTTTTGAGATGGAGTCTTGCTCTGTCACCCAGGCTAGAGTGCAGTGGCACGATCTTGCAACCTCCATCTCCCAGGTTCAAGTGATTCTTCTGCCTCAGCCTCCCAAGTAGCTGAGACTACAGGCATGTGCCACCATGCCCAGCTAATTTTCTTTTGTATTTTTAGTAGAGACGGGGTTTCACCATATGGGCCAGGCTGGTCTCAAACTCCTGACCTCAGACGATCCACCTGCCTTGGCCTTCCAAAGTGCTGTGATTACAGGTGTGAGCCACTGCGCCCGGCCAATTCTGTCTTTGGATGGAGCAACAGAAGCTTAGACTATAGGCTCCATTTTTTTTTTTTTTTAAACAGGATCTTGTTCTGTCACCCAGGCTGGAGTGCAGTGGAGCAATCACAGCTCACTGCAGCCTCGACCTCCTTGGGCTCAAGTGATCCTCCCATCTCAGCCTCCTGAGAGGCTGGGACTATGGGTGTGCACCACCATGATTTTTTGTATTTTGTTTTACTATTGCCAGGTCTTGAACTCCTGAGCTAAAGCAATCAGCCACCTCAGCCTCTCAAAGTGCTGGGATTACAAGTGTGAGTCACCACACCTGGCCAGGTTCCATTTAATTCTTTTTTTTCTTTTTTGAGACAGAGTCTCACTCTGTCACCACGCTGGAGTGCAGTGGTGCGACCTCGGCTCACTGCAACCTCTGCCTCCTTGGTTCAAGCGATTCTCCTGCCTCAGCCTCCTGAGTAGCTGGAACTACAGGTGCCCGCCACCATGTCCAGCTAATTTTTGTTATTTTTACTAGAGACAGAGTTTCACTACGTTGGCCAGGATGGTCTCAATCTCCTGACCTCATGATCTACCCACCTCGGCCTCCCAAAGTGCTGGGATTACAGGTGCTCGCCACTGCGCCCAGCCTAATTTTTGTATTTTTAGTAGAGATGAGGTTTCACTCTATTGGCCAGGCTGGTCTTGAACTCCTGACCTCAGGTGATCCACCCACCTCGGCCTCCCAAAGTGCTGGGATTACAGGTGTGAGCCACCGCGCCTGACCAGCTCCATTTACTTCTTGAGGAGCTCATGCTTCTCTTTTTAGTCACTTTGGTCACAGAGAGATCATTTAAGATCATTTAATAAAAAAGTAGTGCAAACAGGAAAGTAGCATAAAACATAGTGTTGCTGAGGAAGGCTGGTGCTTGCTGTTGAGAAGCAAAGGCCAGAGGAGGCTGGGTGTGAGGGAGGACGATTCTTTAAAGGCAGGAAGAGAGAGGGCTGCCTTTAAGAGCCAGGAGAGCCTCTCATTTATGACCCCCAACATAGAGCTCTGTAGAACTGCTGCCACACCCTAAACACCGACGTAAGGGGGTGAGAGGATGAACTCCAGCCACTTCTCCCAACAGAGCTATTCTGGGACATGTGTGTTTGCAAGCTTATGTGCATGGAGAGCACCCAAAAGCTCTTCAGCAGACCCAGACCTCCACGCAGTCTGGTTTTCAGACTGGCATCCGCAGACAGTGCATGTGAAGCGCCTTCTCATTACTGCCCCCATCTGGAATCTTGGTCTTCTCCATTCCATCTCACCTTCGATTGCCAACCCAAGGGTGCCAGTGCCTGTGGGTCCCATTATATGATACTCTCTCCCAGGACCAAATCATTAGTCTGACCGAAAAAAAAAAAAAGCACTTAGCCACATCCTACTCCGTAATGAATGGCTCTGGGGTCTTCATTTTCTCTTCCGGCTGATCCTCAGTTCATCCAGTTCCTTCTCCATTAATTGGGATTCAGCAGTGGACTCTGAGAGCTGAAAGTAAAGCAGCAGCTGTTAGAAGGCAGGACATTTCTAGGAGATGTTTCAGGTTTGCAAGGCCGGCCCTACACGCGGAGGAAAGGCCCCTGGCACTTCTCTGATGCTGCTGGCCTCCATCATGATGGGAAGCCCTCTGTACCTGGGTAGAATGCAAGCATCTGATGACCCAGGACCACAAGTACTTGAAGAATATTCACAGTGCACTCTGTCAACACGCTGTCACCCACGAGCACGTGGCACTCCCTGCATGAAGGTGAGCAAGTCTCAGAGGATGTCAAAGTCAGATACTGTTGATTCTAAGGCTAAGGGATTAGAGTTTAAGTTGCTTCTAAGCTGTAGCTCCCATAATGGGGATTAGGGGGAAAAATGCTTGAAAAAGAATGCCACTTTCCTCCTTAGGGTTGTTTGTTTGTTTTTTGTTTTCATTTTTTGAGACGGGGTCTTGCTCTATCGCCCAGGTTGGCTGCTTTTCTTGTACTAACTCACTATGAGGTACATACTACAATTATGCTCATTTTTAAAAAACCATCCAAGCCAGGCACAGTGGCTCATACCTGTAATCTCAGCACTTTGGGAGGCTGAGGCAGGCGGATCACTTGAGGTCAGGAATTTCAGACCAGCCTGACCAACATGGTGAAACCCCTTCTCTACTAAAAATGCAAAAATTAAATAGGCGTGGTGGCGGGAGCCTGTAATCCCAGTTACTCGGGAGGACAAGACAGAAGAATCACTTGAATCTAAGAGGCACAGGTTGCAGTGAGCAGAGATCATGCCACTGCATTCCAGCCTGGGCTACAGAGCAAGACTTTGTCTCAAAAAAATAAATAAATACAAGTAAAAATTATCTCAGCTCACTGCAACCTCTGCCTATCAGGTTCAAGCGATTCTCCTGCCTTAGCCTCCCGAGTAGCTGGGATTATAGGTGCATGCCACCACACCCGGCTAATTTTTGTATTTTTAGTAGAGACGGAGTTTCACTATGTTGGTCAGGCTGGTCTTAAACTCTTGACCTCATGATCCACCCGCCTCAGCCTCCCAAAGTGCTGGGATTATAGACATGAGCCACCGCACCCAACCTAGTCCTTTTTTTTTTTTT